CCTGAGAGGGGCCACCGGCGCTGGAGCAGGCGTGTGCGTGCATACTACTGAGCGGGACGCGGCACCGGGGCCGTCCTGGCAGACCTCCCCTCATCCGGCCATCGCCGCCCGCCCTGCGCTGCACCACCTCCTCCTGCACACGCTGCTCCATGCGTTGGGACTGCACGACCCTTTGGCAGCTGCCCCCACGCTCCCTCGCTGCTGCGGACGCCTCTCCGCGTGAGTATGTGACTGGGAGCCTGATGGCAGCCCCTCGGTTGTCCCCACTTCGTGACCCCTGCTGCAGGACAGTCACAAACACCAGAGCTGTAACAAACTGCTGCGAACAGCAAGCCGTGAGCTCGCGGACCATCAGGAAGTGCTCAGCAGCACGGCCTAAAAATAAGGAAGAGTAAAATGTACATCTGGTCAATCCGCAAGCCCCCGGGCATCCTGCCCAAGCTGACGCGGAGCTGATGAGCCCTCGATGCCTCGTGACGGGAGGCCCCGGTGGCGCTCGGTCCGGCGGGCAGCACCAAGCCCCATCTGCCTCCGCCGAGGTCTGGGCACACAGCAGCTCCGCCGCAGCCGGGATCAACCCCAGGCTGTGATCGCTTGGTTTTGCTGTAGGCTGGCGGAGCTGGGGCCGCTTGCTCAGACCTGCCCTGGGCTCTCTCCCCAGGCACTGGCAGGCCGGAGGGGCACAGAGAGCACAAGCTGCACTGCAGCTCCCGAGGTGAGGCACCTCCGCTTTGCACAGGGTGTCTGTGTGTCCGTTAGGACCTAGAGTGACAAACGTCCTGTATTTATTTCCGGTCTGGATGCTGGCAGCAGCCTGCTGACCCCCGGCTGAGCTGCTCGCAGAGCTGGGGCCCTGCTGACAACGTGGGTGCTGCCACCCGCCCATCACTTTGGACAGTTTTCCAATATTTGCCCCGCTAGCTGCTAAAACAAAAGATGTGCCTGTTCCGTGGTGCACTGATGGGGAAGCACTGAACTAGTGCAGGAGGAGAGCGGGATGCATTAAACCCTGACCTCGGCCTCCTCGTGATCGCTGACCTTCGCTCGCTCCCGAGTCAAATGCATGTCTTGGAGAAGTCTGTTGCTGTAGTAAGTTGTTTAGAAGTGCCCATCTTGACTCCGTGCTGCTTTTTCAAGTCTCTGCTGTAGAACAAAGCTACATCATGGCAGCAAAATGGCAATTCTTAAGTAAGTGTTAAAACGTGCAAGTTTTTATATTGTAAAATACTGATTACCTGACCCTATTGAAACACGATTGCCATAGTAACAAATAACAGTATTGCCGCGCTCAGCCTGGGTCGTGCTGATGCCCTGACCTGCTTTGCACTGCTTCTGATTGATCTTGCGCTTCCTAGCTGGGCAGGATGGTGACTAACAGTAGGTTTTGTACTGTCAGCTTCTATTTTTTATTTGTACATATGTAAAATATTTCTTGTCCAAAGATTCATTTCTGGTTTTAAGGCACCATGCTGTATCGCTGGGATAATGAGCACAAAATCCCGTAACATTCGGGACAGGCTGATTCCAGGTCTTTGCTTCCAACTTCTTCCAATCAGGTAAATCATTTTCTGAAACTGCCTCCGTAAAGCAAGGCTGTGCGATTGGAAGGCAGAGGCCGGTTCGGGTGCAGGTGTGTCGTACTTGGGCAAAGGAATTGAAGCAGAGCTGTTTGCACCAGCTCCGGAGGTTTGGGTGACCCCCTGGAGGTGCTCGTTTACTTGGAGGTTGCAGCACCGGTTTTAGTTCTTATTTATCCTGCAGGAAAGCAAAGCCAGACCTCACTGCCGAGCTTCACAAAGGCTAGATTGATGATGCCGACATCGACAAATGAACATACCATGGCAGCCTGGTCATTCGGCTCAGGTTCACTTGAAGTTCAAATCCACTCCATGCTGTAGTACTATGCCCATCTCATCCATCTTTTCTCTTTCTATTTTTCTGCCTGTAATTTGTTCTGTGGCTTTCTGTGGCATCCGTTTAGAGCTTCTCCTGTGGCTTAGTGGACGCTGCAGGTGGGTAGAAGCCGTCTGCAGCGGTGCGTTCCTCACCGCTGTGGGATGAAGGAGCTGCAGGGAGCTGACCTTCCCTGTTCCTGGTGGAGGAGGAGGAGGGAGGGCTGCGGGCTGGGGCAGGGCAGGAGCGCAGAGTCTGCGGCGCGCCAGGGGCAGTTCCTGCCGCCGGGGCGTGGGGAGGCGGCTGCCAGGAGCCCCTCCTCGAGCCGCGTTCTCCCGTGCCGAGGGCAGAGCTGACCGTGCCACAGCCGGAGTGCTCGGTGAGGAGCGGGTTCGGGTCGCTGCCCAGCCCCACACTCAGTGGGGCGCTCCCTGGGTGTGTCTGGGAAAAACGGGCACATAGCTTCGAGTCCCTTCCTGGGAGATTTGGCTTAGAGAGCATCAGCAGATAAAGTCGGTGCTTTGTAGCAGCAGTTAGGTTTGCCCGGCCTTCTCAGAGGTAGGGAGCTCAGCTTTCTCTCCAGCGACCTGCACTGGATGGCTCAAA